CCCACCCCCTTTTTCCTCCCCTTCACCCCCTCTCCCTTTCGAAACCCCATCACGGAGGCATCATTTGTTCCCGGCCATTGGCATCTGGTGGCGTCGAGGCGAATAATCCCCAGCGTGGGGGAGTGGGAGGAGGAGCACGACGGGGAGCTGCAGTCCCTGCAGCAGGGAAGCGAGCCCCGGGTGGGCGTCACAGCATCCCTCCCTCCATCCCTCCATCCATCCCTCCCTCCATCCCTCCCTCCATCCCTCCATCCCCGCCGAGGATGCCGGCGTGGGAGAAACGCCTCCCTGAGCTAGACGGGACCGTGGGGCACTGGGAAGGCTGTTACTCTGCCTCCCACGCAGGTTTTTGCTCTGTGCCTCAGTTTCCCTGCGGGAAAACAGGCTCCTTCCCCCCCCCTCCCCGGGGCCGCGCTGGGTTCGGCACAATAGCAAACCTCCACGTTATTATTCTGGGGGCGGAAAGCAGCATTACTCAGAGCTGGGATTGCTAATAACTGGCTAAATATAGCAGTTTCCAGCTCCTGAGTACTTTCTGAACTCACTTGTGAGCCCCAACCTCCTCCAGAGAGAGGGGCCAGGGCACTGGTCGGCATCGCTGTGTGGGCAGGGGTGTCGGGGGAGCAATGGGATGTTCCCCCGTGGATGCTCCTGCCCGGAGATGCTTCCCGTTGTGATGGAAGGAGTGGGCACGGGGTCAGTCCTTCCTGAGCGGCCCCAGGTTGAGGGGCACGGGGGCAGCAGGCCGTGGTCCCGGGGCAGACGGGCAGTGAGGGATGGGTTCCTGCAGCCTCTCGGTGATGGTGGGAAGGGGCTGCTTCTCCCACTCACCCTGCAAGAGAGATCAGCACCATGAGACCAAGTCAGGGTTTCAGGTACTTGGAGACTCCGTGTTCCTCCCTACTTGAAAAAATGAAATCATCTTTTATATTTGAAGTGTTTTTAGCGCAAACCAGGATGTTTTCTTATGAGACGTTACTAATTATTTGTGTTGCAGAAGGACCTACGCATCCCCGTAGTGGCACAGATGTCTGCAGTGCACCACGTTGCACAAACCCACCACAGACAGGGAGTTTCCACCCCAAAAAAGCGTTACCCACCGCATCAGATGGAGGCAACTCCAACCAGGGAGTCTCACCGACCCACCGCCCTCTCATCCCAGCCTTGAAAAAAGCTCTCTACCAGGTATTGGCAGGGAGTTTGGTTGGAGGTGACATTTGCATCGTGCCAACATGGATTTCATTTGAAGCTGCTGCCAGACAGGAGGGAGGCAGGAAGTGGGATGAGGTGCCACGGGGAAGGGCTGTCACAGCCATCAGGGCTCAAGGTGACCACAGCCAGGACAAACCCCCCAGCTCCCTGGGTGCCGGGGGACACCTTGTCTGGAGGATGCTCTTTGCAAGGAGCAATCCCCTGGGTTGAGCCGGTGCTGAGGGCTGAGCCCACGGGGCAGGATGTAGCTCAGATGTGACTTGTTTGTCGGGGTTAGTGGCCGGGTGAGATGCAGGCAGGGGCTGGGGGGGGGGTTGCTCAGGCTGGGCTGAGCTGTGATGCTCCGGTTTGGCTGCCGGCTGGGCGCTCATGCGGAAACGTCAGCGAGAGGCTGAGCCGCAGCGGGAGCGGGAGGAGGGAGGGCTGGAGAGGAGAGGTAGAGCCGTGACTCATCGGCAAGAAGAAGAAGAAGGTTGGATTTGTGTTTTCAGATTAAATTCCTTGTCGTATGTCAAGCGAAAACGGGCCAGAGCCTGCTCTGGCACCAGGAAAAGGTGGAATGGGATGGAGGGACCGGTCACACGGGGAGTGACCGGAGAGGGGACAGCTTTGCAGGGGAGCACCAGCTGGAGAAATGACTCTTTTCCTGTCCCCTTATGGCTTAAGAGAGCAGTTAAGCATGTTTAGGGTGCCCCAGCCCTGAGCCCATCTTCTGCAGTGTCCTCCTGCCCTGATGACAAGTCCCAAACCCTCACCAGCACCCTGCTTTTGGGGTAGATCAAAGGCATTTGGAGTGTCTCGATAGTTGTTGTTTTCTGTGCTTTTGAGTGGAAATCTGAACGTAGAGAGCTCAGTGCCAGCCCTTGCAGGTGCAGGGGTCTGGGGGACGGTGACATCCCCGCGGCCGCTCACATAGTTAACAGCAACCAGTCCTTCCAGTAAGCTCGTCAGCTTTGGGATCGCTGAACTGCAAAAACACGAGCTTAATTAGAAGCTGGTGCTTTTCTCTTGGCAGAAACAGTGTGGAATAAATGAGGTGTCTTAAAATCGGGCTCGCTCTGAAAACACCCGCAGAGCAGGAGGGGCAGCTCAGCTCCTTCGCCCTCACCACGATGCTCCTGACCCACATTGTGCCAATGCCAGATCTTCTCCCTTCCAGTCTCTTACCGGCCACCCCCCAGACCTCGCAGAAATCAAGAGAGTTGCCTGCACTGTAATTAAGAGGCTTAAATCATAATTGGGCTGCCACACAAAACTTCTCCACCCCTTCTGTCCCTGCAGCCGGGCTCTGTGTGGCCGAGAGGTGCCAGGTCTCCAGTTCCAGGGGACTGGAAAGGCTTCTGCCTCCTCTAGAGCAGAGTTTGCTAAAGAGGTTTTACTGGGGCAGGAAGGTGATGGTTTTCCCTGCAACCAGCTTGGCATCCTCTGGCGCTGCAACGGATAATGCTGGATCCAGAGATAAGGGATCCTGCGAGCTCATTACACTGATAAACAGTGTCGGGAGCTGGTGGTGATAGGGACCATCATTGCTTTTAAAGCTTCATCATCGTGACCATCGTGGCTGGGCCTGTTTTTTGGTTTTTTTAAAGATCTCACAGCCCTTTATCCTTCACGTTTTGCTGGATCGCCGTGTTTGGAGACTGCACAGATGCTGTGCGTAATGAGCTCGCTCTGCTGGGACCTGATGTACTTTGCCAAAAATCCTAAAAACCACCTCACGTTCCTCCTCGGTTCTGGAGCTCACCCTGCTTTAATGCTCAGCAAAAGCAGCCTCAAAATCACTTTATGCAAATGCATCCCCTAATTGAATCTGCCCAAAGCATCCACAGCGGGCTGGTGCCGTATTGTTTTAAGCACCAGGTTTGGGCTGGGCTCAATGTCTTGGTGACACTGGGGTTCCCCAGGCAGCTCCAGGTCCCTGCCCCGAAGCTGTGCCCTGAGCACCAGAGACCTGGCCCATCTCATCAGTGTCACCCTGTGGCTGAGCTGCTTTTTTTTACCTAGATCCAGGGATTTTGCTGTGAAGCTTTGGTTGTGAAGCTGGTACCTACCGGGAAGCGGACGGCTGAGGATTTGTTGCAGTGCATGGAGATGGGAGCAAAGCCATAGAGGGATTTCAGCACATCTCGGTTGAACGAGTTCCAAGGGATGGAGAAAAACTGCTGTGGGACAGAGACCTGCGGGCACATGCAGACCTCCTCATCGTTAAACCTGGGGCAGGAGAAATGGCAGAGTGAAACACAGCAACTCCATCCCCTTTCAGCTCTGGATGTGTCTAATCCCCCCCTGCCTGAAGCTCAGCCTGGAACGGCTCCGAAATCGGCGCTGGGAGCTGGGGGAGCCTCGCACAGCCAGCACCTACAGGTAAAGATCTGGGGCCAGCCCGTGAGGTGGACACCCTGTGCCAGGTCAGCATCTCACCCCCCTCACCATGGGTGAAAGGGCTGCAACCTGCTTCTCTGGCAGGGGTGCTTGGTGTCTGCCTTGGGTTATAACCTTCAGCCTGGAGAAGAGAAGGCTCCGGGGAGACCTTATAGCGGCCTTTCAATATCTGAAGGGTGCCTATAGAAGAGCTGGGGAGGGACTCTTTGCCAGGAAGGGTAATGATAGGACAAGGGGAAATGGTTTTAAATTGGAAGAAAAAAGATTCAGATTAGATATCAGGAAGAAATTTTTTACTATGGGGTGGTGAGACACTGGAACAGGTTGCCCAGGGAAGTTGTGGATGCCCCATCCCTGGAGGGGTTCAAGGCCAGGCTGGATGTGGCCTTGAGCAACCTGCTCTAGTGGGAGGTGTCCCTGCCCAGGGCAGAGGGTAGGAACTAGATGATCTTTGAGGTCCCTTCCAACCCAAACCATTCTATGATTCTATGATTCTATAACAAGTATTTCACACATAAGTCCTTGGCCATACACTGACTCTTGTTGGGAAGTCCCTCCCTGGGGACTGTCTCCCTTCCTGGTTGTTCTCACTGCACAGCCATCCTTAAATAATGGAATCATAGAATAGTTTAGGGTGGAAGAGACCTTAAAGACCATGAAGTCCCTCCCTGGGGACTGTCTCCCTTCCTGGTTGTTCTCACTGCACAGCCATCCTTAAATAATGGAATCATAGAATAGTTTAGGGTGGAAGAGACCTTTAAGACCATTAGTTCCAACACCCCTGCCCTGGGCAGGGACACCTCCCACTAGACCCATCCAGCCCGGCCTTGAACCTCTCCAGGGATGGGGTGGCCACAGCTTCTCTGGGCAACGTGGGACAGCATCTCACCA